GAGGAATGAAATAAACAGAAAAAAAAAAGAGAAGTTGAGAATTAAAAAATTGGAAAATTTTATGTTGCGAAAACTCGCAAAAAAACCGACAAAAATCGCTACATTGAAAGGTATATTTTGCTCCAAAAAAAGGCTGAAAACACACAGTAGAAGTGTTCCCAGTCAGGGCAGAAGTACCCGTTGGTGTAGTGGTTAGCACGTCACGTCCCATTATGAAAACGAGGATTCTGTCCCGCCTCAGTCCTTACTCATTTTTTTGCAAATTGAGTTTGCGTTTACGACTGTTTCCTCGCGGTTTGTCGAAGATTGTTTCACACTAGGATATGTAAAAAAAGTAGCAGTCATTAGGTCCGAAAAGTGTAGAGAATTTTCTCCCTACAACGATTAGTATGGGAGAAATGAATTTTTTGGTTTTAGCTTAATTTTTTGGTTTTCAACTTAATAATTCCAGCTTTCTCCAGAGGTCCCAGGAATTCTTGAAGTTGCCGGGATATTCATATTATATTCGCAAAAAAAGTATTTCCCCAGTAAAATAAAGAATAGTTTTAATTCAGGATCAGATATCATTTGCACGTGATGTTGTGTATGATATTCCAATTGGTGAAAGCTGGGATGAAGCAAAGCGTTTTCTGATGGAATTACGGCTACAAGATCGACAAATTTCCAGGGATATGGAACGAGTTGGTATTCTATTAATCGTTAGGTTTAAAATATGAATAATGTGGGTTTCCGCACGAATTAACATGTATTACAGGTGAAAAAATTTTTGTAAAATTCCCGTATTTTTCTTCCGACTTATTGTGAGAGTGTTTGTGAATTTTTGAAGAACGGCTACGGATTGTTTTTTGATTTCGGGAACTAGTTAATATTGATTTGTATGGAATAATAACTCATTATTTGGATCAAATTGCAGTAACCCCTCAAGCGGATTACGGTATACGAGCACACCTGTCTGTTTTACACAATTCAAACATTTCTGTGAATGTTGTCATGAAGGGCGTCTCTTGTCAAAAACCCTGATGAACCAGTAGGGAATTGAACCTCTCCCCGTCACATTCGGATGGGATGTGCTACCCACTACACCACCGATCTCATAGTCAAGGTTCACTGTGGCAGCATATCTACTGTGTATCTGCTTTTCAAGACTAGATGTGCCTCTTTCTATCCCGCCTGAACAGTTTTCATTTGTTTTTTTGTAGCGGCTTTTTGCGGGTTTTCCATCAAGAAATTGCTAAAAATTGTTGTTGAAAGGTGTGGGTCTAGATAATTTCTGGATCTTGTGAAGAAATATCTTTGGTTTGTAATACAGAAATACAACAATTGTTCGGGTGGACTACGACCTTTGGCCACAATTCTTACTGGAATGACATTTTGTAGTGAAATATTTGCAAGATATTTTTGTGTTCCAGGAGAATATGCATCTATATCTCAGTGAAATGTTAATAGCTGCATTTGAACAAATGC